CCAACAGCAAGACTACGTCACCAACACTGAAGACTGGTTGACATGGCTGTTGAGTGGAAGCTGGAAGACTCTATTAATGAAAGGACTGGTTATTATAGGAGTATTGCTTTTGCTGTTATGTATGTTTTCCACATGTATCCTGCCATGTATCAGATCGATGATTTTAAACATGGTGAACACATCAATAATTGCATACGTCGGAATCCCTCAAGAAGACTATGAAAGTAATGTCTAAAACTAACTGCTTTACGTTACAGCTCCAGAATGTTTCGTCACAGTTCACATGCACAATGAAGTTACAACCGAAAATGTTTCTACAAGTGGCCGCTAACTGATGACCAATGTATAGTGATGAGTGAAAACATTAACAACAGGAGGGAATGTCAGAGAAATAATGTTTAAATGTTTTTATGTTTTGCTTCAATACTGATAATGTTCATATTTTCACTGTGCAGCTCAGCTTGATAAACATGAAACTGCAAGCCTTGTGATAAGGCCACAAGATCAGCACAAAAATACACATTTGCAGAAGCTGATAGGAGCTTCACCGCACCCACACATCCGCAGAAGTTGACTCGCATTATCTTTATTATTCTTAGAAACTGACTTGCTGCACACACACATACACACGAACATGAAAAACAGGAACTGCTATCTATGCTTTAAATAAAGAAAACGCCTGCAGCTGGGTGTGAGTGTCTACTGTTGAGCTCTCACCCGTGCACGTTAAAAATTCTCTCCAAGTGTCTAAGTGTTGTTTCTTCACCTGAGTGTTTGATAATTGTTGATATCCTTGACAATGATGATGCTGGCTTTCAGCTTAAGTCTGCCAGTATAAATGTCTCTGAGGGGGGTTAGTGAGGTACCAATTGCCCGCTCTGCTGCCCTCACCACCCGCTGCAGTTTCCTCTTGTCCTCCACGGTGCAGCAGTTGAACCAGAGTGTGCAGCAGTAAGTCAGAAGCCTCTTGATGGTGGAGCGGTAGAAGTTTGACCAGCTCAAACTGATAAAAAGGCTGGGCTTCATCGATGTCGGCA